CGATTGTATCTATGGAATCGCGCGTTTGAATCGCTGCTTAAAGTCACAAGTGTGTGCAAAGGTAGACGATAAGCCTACTGCATCGCTTTTGCATCGCTACTACAAGTCGCCGCGTGTAACCGCTTTAAGAGCTGGTGACATTACAGGCACATGGGACTTGTCAACTTATGTCAAGGTGCCCCTAAAACGTTTTAATTTTTAATCCTTAGTAGTAGAACATTAAACATATATATGTATGTTTAATGTTCTACTTCTAATGATCTTCGAATGAATGAAGCTCATTTTTCGCAATTAATATTAATTAGCATGTGCTAATTAAATATTAATTGCGTAAAGTGAGCTGTGAGGCTAATTAATGATAAAAGTTATCGATATTTGATTTTCTATCATAATGATTACGATTTGCTGGAAAGCTTTAACTTAATTATAATAACGCACGTTACATACGTAAGCGCAGGTGATGTGATAGTGGAAGTCAATAATACAACTTCTTTAGTTTTATTTGTTTATCATTTTTAAACTATCCGGAGGATGACTGTAAAATGCCAAACAGTACGATATGAAAATATTAATTAAACGCTTCAAATAAAAATATTGTGTTAAATACTAGAAAGTAAAACTAGGATTAAATTATATAACAAAAATTGGGTCCCCATGGCAAAGTGCCCAAGATCCTGGCAGCGTTCCCCCTTTGTATGGCTATGCTAATGCGTTGGGCAATGTAGCTGCCGGCCCTTGCGAATATTATATAGTTACATGGTTATTCGAGTAATTGGTCATAAATTTGAAAAGTGCAAAAATGCATTACCATTTTAAAGATTCTTAAAAATTCCCACGAACAATATTATGAAGTTAGTTCCAAGAGTAGATAGCCTGCAAAATACAAACATTTTTTCCGTTTAACATTTTCCGCAATTTCCGTGTGACATTTTTAATTTTATTTTTCGTAAAATAAACATTGGAGTACCGAGTAATTATAAAATTAATTGAAAAATAAATCTGAAGAAAAATTATGAGGTGTATTTTGAACGGGAAAATCCAAAAATTCAAATAAAAAGTACGGTAAAAGCTTTTAGATGTTCATTCGGTGGGGCGGTCGATAACATGTGGCTTCATCATCATCATTTTAGCCGAAAGACTTCAATTTCTGGATATAGCCTTTAACAAAGAGAGTCGCCGCTAGAATCGGTCTTCCGTTACTCGCAACCAACTTACGTCTTTTTATCAGTAATTAATTATGTCATTAATTCCCACTCTAATCAAACTTTACAAAACTTAACCTAACACGCCCATATACCTACAACAGTGGAATAAACATGCTACTGTCTTAATAGTGAAATGGATGAATTTGAATTGGACTTAAGTTAAGGTTGCTAAAAATCTATAAACGTTGACACTGATTTGCGTAGGGCCTTTCATCACTTTTTCAGCTAAAATAAAAAAGGAAGTACTCGTAAAATTGTACATGAGATTATCAAATCAATAAAAACAATGACCAAAAATTGGTCATCATGTGATTAAACTAAATTGTCAATATTCAATAGGTACATAAATTTTACACACAAATTTTCAATCCTTCAAGCATTCGTATAGTCTCGTCTTGAAGGAAGACAACTTTTTAATGACATACCTACATATGTAATATTTACTTTCTATTAGTTATGGCTCTCCATCAGCTAATCAAAGGCTCTTTGCTGACCCCTCCGCTTTCCAGTTCCAACTGGCCGCAGTTCCAACAATTTTATTTTTAATAAATTCAAAATTGCATTCATCTCCTGATTTCTAATTTCTCCATTGAGTGTCAGCTTTACACCGGTTTAATTAAATTTGGCAATTTACTTACATATCGAGTTCTTAGGTTTTCGCGATTGTTACACATAGGAAATAAAACTATTTTTCCGGATTTAAATCGCGTATATTTGTTTAATCAAACAAACCGACGATTCGGGCCCTTTACAGGTCCCATGGTCACAGTTGACTGAGGTGGTACAGTCTTCAACCAGTTATGTCTAATATTGATGCAAAACACCCTTTTTTTTTTCACTATAGTTACAATAGTTATTAATTAAATACCTTATTTTTAATTTTACAAAGAAAACATTCCAATTTACGCTACATTAAGTTTTACAAATTATTTTATTGCATGAATTTTTATTAAGTTCAATTTATTATTAATTAATAATAGAAATTAGAATAAACTAAAACATATTAATTAGTACTGCAGTCTTATGTCTGTTTGGGATTTTTCATTAGAGGAAATACTGGACTTTACTTACAGTTTCTTTAATTTAAGTGTCTAAAGTAACACGTTTGGTAAAACGTCACAATAATTAATATTTACATGCCTTCAAGGTTACTCGAAACTTGGAGTGATAAGAATAATAAAATCGGTTCAATTGTACACATAGCATCATGTAATTGAGAATTTGTTCTATCTGAGATCGCTGTACGAAAGAAAGCCTGCAGAGTGGGGACAAAGATGGTGACCACTTCGCTGCGCCTGGGCAGTGTGTGCTTGGTACGTGGTGGCGCGGGCGCGCTTCAACAGGTTCACTTTCGAGATCGAACGTCTGACTTCGTAAGTGTTAATTGTGCGTGCTTTAATACTTAGGTATCTCAGTGATTATATTATAAGACGGTGTGAAAATATTGGTAGGATGTAATTATTTATGTGATACCTCGTTATAAGATATTATTTTTGTTTGGTAATCTAGTTTTTTGCGTAGCGATTTTGATGGTCGTAGAATTTAGTACAACATGCTTTGCGAATTTTTGACTATTCAAATTTATTAATAATTAATAATGTTAAAGCAGTATTAGATATAGAAAATGTTCTAAGAGTGTGGCTCAGACGGTAATTTCTTTTTTACATTATTAATATATTACTCGTACTATCTACTTTTGTACAGAAAATATTATTAAATTAAAGACTAACGTTTTAAAAAGGGTTTAATTTAGATTTTGAATGAAATATACAAGACATAATCTTTAATAAAATTTAACATTTGAAAAATATACCAAGAGTTCTCGTGAGATCTCATAATTTTCATCACAGGGCACACTGTTAATAAAATTGTTAGACGGCTTCGCAATATGCCATTGTAATAAAACGCAACCTCACAACAATCACGTAGACATTAGTTAAAAAAGCACAGTATTATTTATAATAATTCCTATGAAAACATAAAAGCAAATAATCAGTTACCGTATCTTAATAGATAAAAAATTTGACAGAAAACCGCAATAATTTGAAATATGGCTCATTAATGAAATTATTATACTTACAACTTCTTTATAAAATAAAAACCGACCTCAAAAGTTCGTAGAATTACATCGATTTGTCAAGTTTTATTGTAATCGGTTACCGAAAAATGCGCATGAGGTTCAAATTTAAATGGGACCAACACTGAGGTACCTCCTTTTCAACAAATAAGAATCATCGAAATCCGTTCACAAATAGTAATAAGTAATCGCGAAACATACATTAAAAAAATACAGTAGAATTGAGAATCCCTCCTTTTTTGAAGTCGGTTAAAAATAAAAGAAATAATGCTTTAAATCTTAGCACGGCACAGAGGCTACGGTCGGTAAATAATTACCTTTCGTGACCATCGCAACATTCAATGACCATAACTTGGCAGTAAGGGAGACACCACATTATAATAACAATAATGCACACACTCATAGCCCTGCACTAGGGAACCCTGTAATGCGAGTGCCATGGGAACACACATAGACAACCGCAAATACACCCAAACTGACAAAAGAAATAAATGTAGGCCAAACAAATATTTCTCCCGGAATGGGAGTTCAACCCGGGGACCTCCGCGTGGCAGGGGAACTACTGCCACCTTACTGATTTCTGCCAAGCTGCTCACATTAGTGAGCATTACTGTGTTCCAGTTTTGAAGGGTAAGGGTGCTGGTGAAATTACAGACACATGGGACTTGTCAACTTATGTCTCAGCATGACGGGCGCAGTGGCAGTGTCCCTCAAATCTTTGCGATTTAAAACTCTGAATGGCAGTATATGGACGGGCGTGTCGCTTACCCCCAGGGGTTCCGTCACTTAGTGTTATTAATTTTTATAAATTTCAGTGTACGGTAAAACCTAAACTGGTTTTTGTGACACTGTACAGTTTATGTAAAAAAATGTAAATTATGTTTTAATAAAAAAAAAAAAAAAAAAAAAAATTTTAAAAAAAAAAAAAAAAAAAAAAAAAATACTTTTTCACTGCTATTGCTTGGACTTAAAGCGTTTCTGACCAACTTAGTGCGATTCAGTGCCGATGAGTGTGGTGTTTAAGTTGACGTAAAACAATTTGTAGCATAAACACCTATACGTCTTCAGTAACCACAGTAACCTCCACAGAGACTTTTCTTAAATAGCCAAATATACATAATGCCGAATTAAAACGGTGCACTGCGGCTTAATTTAATTTTTAATTAATTAAAATTCACTGCTAAGCCGCATTAAGTCCAGTCTATTATTTTTTCTTGTATAGGAAGAAATTTATGTAGTACGAATGAGATACTGATATCTATAAATTTATATTATTTAGTAAACACTTTCATAGTTGATATACGCATAAAGAAAAATCATGTGTATTAAACATTTTTTTTAATTTTTAAACCAACTGATCGATGACTATATTTAAAATTATGTTTAAGTTTTTCGATGAGTAATTTAACAAATTATAGTTTTATTATGAGTGCTTCTAGTTTATTGAAGCTTACAAATGTAAGTTCTTAGGTTTTCGCGATTATTACACATAGGAAATGAAACAATTTTTTCGAATAAATATAAATATATAAATGCTTATACTTTAAAACTACATGAGTATAATCATAAATACTTAAAAAACTAAGCAGAAGGCTTATTTGATGTTATCGAAAATAATTTTTGACCTTTATTGCCACTGCCAAGCATCTACAATAAAAAAAGGTCAGGAATATGTCAGAGTTAAGGTCCTCGGTACGTTATTGTCGACTCGTACGTATATAAGCCGACAAAAACATACTTGTACTAGAGGGGCAGTTTACGCCACAATTCACCATAATGTCCAATTCTGTAAACTTTACCAATACGCTCGAAACTTGTATATTATTTAATACGATTATGGAGGCAAACATGACGTACAAACGTGACGACACGTGTGCAGTGAAGTCGAGCACCTATAGTTGGGCACGGAAGCATTCCGCTTCCGTGCCCAACTATTATTACTATATTAGTTATGTAATTGGCTCCAGCAGAATAATTTCACTCACTTAACAACGACTAGAATTGTACCGGATTGTAAGATCGTATATCTTGTTGATTTTATTTTTACTTGTAATGTGCTTCTTGACACGGTATCATTTCAACTCACTAAAAGGTTTTAAAAGGGCCGTTGTACGCAGGAAACTTGAAATTATTGTCTCAAAAAATAATACTGTAGTTGTGTTTCTATTTACGTTTAAAAATACTTTAGTCATTTCTAAAATAAACATTTGATAACCTATATTTTGGAAAGTTTAGAAAATAAAGAGTAAAAAAAGAAATTTTATACGCACGCTTTGATGACGAAAAGTGTTTGGCCTTACTAAGAAAACGTTCGTACTTTAAGAAAATTAATTCTCTCAATCGAGATAAAAAGTATTTTTGTATATAAAACGTACAAAGTTGTTGATAGATTCACTGAACCATGTGAATATTTTGTTATTTACTATTGGTGTGTTTTATAGATTATAAGACTTTCGTGGTTTTTCAATAAATTATTACTACCACTATTTAGGTACAGATTTGTTAACAAGACGGCATAACTTCCTATTATCGCGATATTTCGGAACGGTTACACGCTCCATGGTCACGGGTCAACTCGTCATGCTTTTATTAAATTACAATATGGCCACGTCGGAAAGCAGCAAAATTTTCATTATATGTGCATAAAATATATCTATTGACATTTTATCTACTATATTTGTATTATCTAACAGTCCCTTCGGCATCATTATTTAATAACGATGACGAATGCTGTCAACTTCTGATGATTTATGTTTATTATTCATAAACATGATAATAACATGACACATATTATGCATTAGTGCAAGTTACGGTGTCAGCATTAATTGAAAAAAGACGAAGATCACGATAATTGGCAGACCACAACATTTTACAACACTGTTGTTGTAAGAAATCAACTTTTGAAAATATCGTGGACGGATAGAGTGTCTAATGAAAGAGTATTGTAGATAGTGAATAAGAAATTAGAGGTCTTGAGTACCGTCAAAAAACGCAAGCTACAGGTCATATCATTTCGTCATATCATGCGTAAAAAATATACGACCTGCTCCGACTAATTACTTAAGGAAAATGACCATGGAAGAAGGCGTACTTCGTGGCTTAAGAATTTTCGGACATGGTTCACCTGAGTACAAGGTCCTCTTTCCGTGCTGCTGTGCCTATGATGCAGATAGTCCTAACTGCATCCGACCTCCGATAGGAGATGGCACCTTTGAGTACTTCACCCTCTTTAAGATTTTTTTCCTAGCGATATCTATGCCAATATTCATTAAATTTGGTTTAGCGGTTTAGGCGTGAAAACAACAGACAGATTTACTTTTTCATTCATTTTGATATCATAATTGATAGATAAATTCCATACCTGAAACATTTTTTAAATCCAATATTAATTATTATTAGGATTAATTAGATCGTGAGAACAGGAAGTGAGTATGAAAAACCAAAATATATGTGTTTATTTATTACTTGCTGCTGTCTGGTCATCAAGTATATAATCCGAAATAGAGACAAAATGTCATTTAATTTGTTTGAAAACTATTCTGCCAAATATATACGGTGATAGCCCGAATTCGAAACAATTGACGAGTGTCGTCAATTGTTTCACTTCAAATCGACCACTTTAACTTGGCTTTGCTATAATGGCCAAAAATTGAAAAAATACATATTTAATTACCGATGAAATGAAGTTCCGTTTGTTTTGTAATTAGATGTTTTGCTGGTTTTCCCACACGACCGAATGGTACAGCCTCCTATTGTTAGAGATATGTTTTTGGAATATAAGGAGACGTACACACAAGTCAGTTGTTAGCGCTGTACTATTTCACGTTTTTAATTTGTGATTTCAACGCAAACGAGAGTTGATATTTAAAAATGACATTATGCCCATTTGCCTGATAAATTGCCAGGTTTGGGTGGCCCTTATTTCGTAACTATTTCTAGTTATATACTCGATGTGCATGGTAAAGTGAAACAGGTATTTTATTCTATGATGTGGCTTAATCCGTCCAATCGGACGGAAGACATGCCATTACCGGTACTGTATTTCGTCCTTAAAACCATTGAAATAGTCTATATACTGGGTTATTTAAATTTAACCTCCTAAGACTATATTACTAGAAACACAAATAACTATGTGTCTTGCATGACTTAAATAATTCATCAGATTTTACAAAAAAAAAACATTTAAATATATCGCTCCAAACGGTAATAACTCTGTGCAAAACGCAGGACGAGGTTGGGAGTTGTCGGAGAGGACGCTTGCATATATGAACTTTCTACCAAAAAAGTGTCAGATAG